CGCACCAAAGGTGGGAGAGAAATAATGAAGCCGCATGTCGTAATAGACTACAATACCACCATGGGAGGTGTCGACAGAGCTGACCAAGCCATGAACTTCTACCCGGCTATGCGTAAGCAGCAGAAGAAATATTATAAGAAAATCTTCAGGCATCTTGTTGAGCAGTGCTTATGGAATGCCTACGTTCTGCTAAAAAAACAAAGTGACAAGCCTATGACGCATTCAGACTTCATCTGGAAAATTTCCGAAGAAATCTTTTCGAACCACCAAACGCCATCAGCGAGTAGACCTGGACGTCGTGCTGTTGGCGTAGTCAACCCAGAACGCCTGACTGGTCGTCACTTTATGGACTACGTCCCTCCAACAGAAAGAAAGTCAGCACCCACAAGGCTGTGCGTAGTTTGCTGCTCGAGGCGCGATGACAGCGGCAAAAAAATCCAAAAAGAGACCAGGTTCCATTGCCCCGATTGTGACATCGGACTTTGTGCTGTCCCCTGTTTCAAAGTTTACCATACCCGAGATGTTTACTGAAGTAATATTGCACCCTTGCTTGGACAGATGTCAGTGTTTTTTGTTTGAATACATTATTTAATTAAATTTATTAGTATTATATTATTGTTTTGTGTAATTATTTCTAATTATGTGTTATATTATAATTTTATTATTTTGTTTTTCAAACTTTAACATACCCGGGATGTCTACTGGACTCTTGTTTGGACAGATTTAGGTGAGTTATTCCTAGGATTTACAACAACATAGTTGCTTGAAAAACAATGTACCGCCTTTGGTACCTAAAATCCTGAATAATCATACCGCCAGGGAGGTTAAAGAATGGATGCTGCCTAGGGGAATTGGCTCCTACTGGGAAATAGGAACAGACGGGGTTCAGGGGTTAGGAGGACTCCCCCAGACATCAGAGAGGAGTCACATGAGCTCCTGCTGGGATAGGAACAGATGCTGTTCAGGAGTCAGGAGGACTCCCCCAGAAATCAAAGTTGAATCAGGTGGTGCTTGTGCTGGAGGCACACAAAGAAAGCCAAGGAGGCTGGGGAGAACTGGTGAGGCCAGGAGAGCCGTGAGCCTGAGGGGCGCCAGTACAAGTGCAGGACAGCACTTCCAAGAGAACCAGTGGGCCAGAAGTGGTATTGTTTAAAGTGGAAGCCATGAGGCTAAACTTGTGTTGCAAGTATTGCATGGATGTTATGCTGAACAACCCCTGTGAGGGTATACAAGGTAGATGTATAAACTTTTGTTTGAATAAAAGTGGACTACCAAACCCTTAAACAGAAGACATTGTGAGTGGACTGCATCCTTAAACGCTCACTATATGTACTAATATCCCCAAACATCACAAAATATAATAAGTAAATGAGAATCACAAACAAAAACTTTGTGTACAAGAAAAAAAAAACAGATAAGTTGCTCTTAAAAACTCCCCAGCTTATTTTTTTAGATACATTTTACAGCTTTCAGCTGCCTCCATGTTAAATATGAATATAGAACATCAAGGGGTTCCTGTAGATACAATATATTCAGGCTTTAAATGCCTTTGAGTTAAAGGACTTTCATGAAGGTAAACTTTATGCAATTTATATTCTTCTATTAAATGTGTTCCAGGTTATCGTGCAGCGATCCTTAGCAGCCAAGAACCTCTCCCATGCCAAGGGAGGCTCAATCGTCGGGGGTTACCTGAAGATTCTTCCCACATTCTTTGTGGTACTTCCAGGAATGATTAGCAGAGCTTTGTATCCAGGTGAGGTCCCTCTGGATTCTGGACGTTGGCTATAAGCTTGTGTATGGTCATAACTCCTGACCTTCATAGTCAAACCTGGAGAAACTAACTCCATCTGAAAGCGATTGCCAGTCTACATATTTCTAGCATGTCAGATTCACATTAACTCAAAATATAACCCCAGCCAAAATAATGTTAAAATATATGAAAGTAGAAGCTGCCACTGCTTAGAAGCTGCCACTGCTGACCTCTTTCCAAAAATGCAAGTTGTCTGGATGTCATGCTGATCCAAAGATTAGACCTGCAACAAACAGGCAGAACAGGATGGTTGATCTGGAATGCTTGTTCTGGGTCAGTAACTCAGTCTTGATTTCAGATGCAACCAGGAAACTAGCATTCTCATACAGAGGTCAGCAGTGACATATCCAATAGTTCTCTTAGTACAGGTTTCCTTTAACATTCATCCATATTCTTTTTTCCAGATGAGATTGGTTGTGTTCATCCAGAAGAATGCCGTAAATATTGTCAGATTGATGTGAGCTGCTCCAACATTGCCTATCCCAAGCTGGTAATTACACTCATGCCTGTCGGTGAGATGCCCCTTTAACTTCTCTTACGGCCCGGGTTTTTTTAAACATTTCTTTATAAAGTATAATCCTTACATAGACTGACTACATTTTCTTGAGCCAAAAACTGGATATTGAGATGGCAAAAATGGGACGGTTTTAATATTCCGTATTCAAAAGTAAGATAACAAAAGTTTTATGACAATATAGTAGACGTGTACAGCATAAAGTTTTGGACAAAATTAATCCATACGTGCGCATAGAAACAATGGGCGCCCTGCCATCTTGGTGCACCCCGGAGTGTCTTCTTACGTGGCGTCAGATGCACCAAGATGGCGGTGCCCATACAACAAATGACTATATGCCCGAATATATAGTAATATGTATATTCGGATATATAGTAATTGGGATTGGGATGATCTGCCGAATTGACAGAAATTCGTTGATTTGGCAGTTCATCCGAATCCAAGTGCACATCTCAACAATCAACAATTATTCTTCAATGACAGAATTTACACAATGCAGTGCATTCTTTCTGCATCTTTCTCCCTTCCTATACTGCCTCATATCCTTCCATTGTGTCAGTCTGAGGAGCAGAGAACTATGCCATTAACCTTGAGATTTCTTAATACTCTGGAGCACTGCCCTGCTGAGATAAAAACTCTGCTGTTAATCATAAAAAATGTCTGCTTAAAGTCCCCGCGGGCACTTATTCTTCCTCCATGGCAGCACTGACTGAGAGGAAGTTACGTAGTGGGCTCTGTGCGGCTATATGTAACTTCCTCCCAGTCAGTGCTAAAGGAAGAATGAGCGCCACCGGGTTTTTTTAAACATTTCTTTATAAAGTATAATCCTTACATAGACTGACTACATTTTCTTGAGCCAAAAACTGGATATTGAGATGGCAAAAATGGGACGGTTTTAATATTCCGTATTCAAAAGTAAGATAACAAAAGTTTTATGACAATATAGTAGACGTGTACAGCATAAAGTTTTGGACAAAATTAATCCATACGTGCGCATAGTTGGTGCACCCAGGAGTGTCTTCTTACGTGGCGTCAGATGCACCAAGATGGCGGTGCCCATACAACAAATGACTATATGCCCGAATATATAGTAATATGTATATTCGGATATATAGTAATTGGGATTGGGATGATCTGCCGAATTGACAGAAATTCGTTGATTTGGCAGTTCATCCGAATCCAAGTGCACATCTCAACAATCAACAATTATTCTTCAATGACAGAATTTACACAATGCAGTGCATTCTTTCTGCATCTTTCTCCCTTCCTATACTGCCTCATATCCTTCCATTGTGTCAGTCTGAGGAGCAGAGAACTATGCCATTAACCTTGAGATTTCTTAATACTCTGGAGCACTGCCCTGCTGAGATAAAAACTCTACTGTTAATCATAAAAAATGTCTGCTTAAAGTCCCCGCGGGCACTTATTCTTCCTCCATGGCAGCACTGACTGAGAGGAAGTTACGTAGTGGGCTCTGTGCGGCTATATGTAACTTCCTCCCAGTCAGTGCTAAAGGAAGAATGAGCGCCAGTGGCCGCAGTCTTAACTTCTACATCAATGCGGCCGGCTGGTCTCATTAAATCCTCAGAAGGAAAATGGGACAAAACTGATTTTTTAAAAGAAACGACGGGACAGGGGGGAAAATGGAAGAAATTACGGTACTGTCCCGTTTAAAACAGATCATATGGCGAGCCTATTCTTACAGCTATGTCATACAGGCGTGGTTATTTTATATGGAATTGCTAACTCGATCTGGAGCTCAGTCACTTGGCAAATGAGTCAGCAACCAGTTCACCAGCGACAATCGCGCTGCATTGAGATCTGTAGGCTTAGCTGCTCGTTTTATACAAGTGATCTTGGCGATTTCACGGAGATCTCTTGCCTGCAGGTCTGCCCCCCCTCCACCTCTCTCCGCCTCTGCTCTGTGTGAACAATGAGACGGGAGATGAGACTCCTGTATTGGAGGTGACAGGTTCAATAAAGAGAATCTGTCACACAGGGGCCTGTTAGCTCCTGTGTGAAAGCAATAGTTACATGAAAAAAATTGATAAATAAAAATAAAATAAATACAAATTTAAAAAATAAGTAAAAACAAATTAAAATAAAAAGTGATAAAAAAAATGTCTTTTTTAAATAAAAAATAAGATTTTTTTTAATAAAAAGTAAAAAATAAGATAAATAACTTTTAAAAAGTAAAAAAAATAAAATAATAAAGTGCAGAAAAAGTAAAGCAGAGAGCAAATCCGGCCCTGATTGAATGTTTTCTATTTATTCAGAAATGACTTGTAATGCATTTTTATATTCTAGGTTTAAAAGGGTTAATGATAGCAGTAATCCTGGCTGCTCTGATGAGCTCTCTCACATCCATCTTCAATAGTGCCAGCACTATCTTCACATTGGATGTCTGGTCACGTATTCGCAGGAATGCCAGAGAACAAGAGCTTATGATTGTGGGCAGGTGCAGTATCTATTGATGTATTATAAAATGTAACTATTTATATTGAAGTATGTATAGTTATTGGAAGATCTAGTGCAGGGGCAGGCAACCTAAGGCATGGGTTCCTCAGGTTACAATGCAATTTTCAGTGGCACACAGATTACCACCTTGTGGCATGGGCACAGGCTTGGACTGGCCCCTGCTTCCTGCAAATACATGTATGCTGCCATAGACTGAATTTGACATCTCAGTTGGCTGTTACTTACTGTTACTTGACTGTTACTGCACCCGCAGCCCATGACATTTCAGAGAGGCCCATCTGATGTCACTGACATTCAAGTGACAGCCCCCTCCCTGTACCAGTGTCAGTATGTGAGAAATTCGGCCCACCTAACGTTTTCCTCTTCCTAGTGGAACTGCCAGTAGACATGAATGTAACACCCCTTTGTTTTTGAAGATGCATGAATTTTAGCTGATCTGAGGTCTAAAGGTGCAGGAATTAGGGCTTAACTGAGGTCTAAAGGTGCAGGAATCGGGGTTAACTGAGGTCTAAAGGTGCAGGAATTGGAGCTTAACTGAGATCTAAAGGTGCAGGAATTGGGTGTTAACTGAGGTCTAAAAGGTGCAGGAATTGGGGGTTAACTGAGGTCTAAAAGGTGCAGGAATTGGGGCTTAACTGAGGTATAAAGGTGCAGGAAGTGGGACTAATCTGAGGTCTAAAGGTGCAGAAACTGTGCCTCATGTCCATCTCCACCACTGTGGCATGACCTACATGTTGTTTATGCCTAGAGAAGTACATCTGTGGTAGGCATTTTCATAATATACCGTTAGGTCTCTAACTGTGTGATTGGCATTAAATGAGATACTTCCTGCCAGCAACCAGAGGTTCATAGGCAGGTACAGGATCTGTTTTTCACAAGGTTTGATGATGTGTGCAGCTGCATCTTCTTAGACAAGAGCATGAGATATGGGGCAGACTAATGGGAAGGAAGGAGGCACAATATGGAGGAGAACATGACATGCAAAAGGGGAGGGAAAACAATGGTGTCATGAATGGGGCTCATGGGTATAAACTGGAATCAGGAATGTGGACCCTCTTGCTACACTGGCAGTGACACTTAAAGAAAAGGGTGCAAGCAGTGTAGGCTTACAACTCCCAGATGTGGAGTACTAGCAGGGAACAGAGCAGGGGAACTGACTAAGACAATTGAAGACAGGTTAAGCTGGAAGGTTGTTGTACTAGGCAGTGTGCTGCAATGCTGAATAGGTGGCATGGGGTCCCCCAGGATGTGGAATCTAAGGGCCAGCCAGCGTTCAGCAGAGCTCCTGATGGTAGAGATGGACTTGGCTGTGTGCTGACCCCATGTCACAATCCCCAGGTTCACCCAACTCGCCTAACAGCCAAAAATGGTGGACAAGGCCAGAGTTCTGGAAAGGTTGCAGACACACATACAACAGACAAAACAAAGGTCAGGGATAGGCGGATGACTAGGATTTCCAGGGACAATCCAAAAGATAGGGACAGACTGAAGACTGGGATTTCCAGGGAAAAGCCAAAGGTCGGTACACGGATAAACTTCAAGGAATTCAGGTTCAAAAGCAACCAGGGGGCTCAGCATCTAGCTTAGGAAAGCATTGCTCGGGCAGCACGCCATGCTCTGCACTGGGTTTAAATACTCAGCAAGAGGGAGAATCCACAGGATTGGCCACAAGCAGACCGCTCTGATTGTCTAAGAAACTGCATAAGAAATAGCAGGAGAGGTCGGCCGACACCTAAAGCTGCCAGGCTAGTGCAAGAGCAAGTTAGGTACAGAGCACATGCCTGAGGGATGACAAGCAATAGCACAGCCCTACATGTCTGCAGAACCAGGGCTAAGAGGTCTGCATATACTTGTAGAATGCAAGTCTGCAGCTGAACTGTGACAAATGGGAAAACTTTTCATTCTGTGGAGTTCCCAGAGTTAGCAGCACCACTGTCTATGCATTACCTCAGATCTCAGGAGACAATCTAGAAAGACCTCACTTATTCAGCCATATTCATACTTATTCAAAGTAATTTAAAGAGCAAGACATTATATGAAAGGGATATGACCCAGAATAACCAGTGAATAATCAGAAATGATCTCCATGATCATGCGGGTAATTTTTGCTCTTTGCTGTGTTTTTATGTCCTGGTGTGTGTGTGTGTATATAT